GGGCCACTGACAGATCCGCCCTCCATAAACCTTTGCTTTAAACTATTCAGTATCTTGAAGCAGGAAGCTCCATGATTTTTTATTGTATGAAACAGTGGTCTCATCTGTGCACTTCATAAATAGTAAAGAATACTCTGTGCAATTAGGCAGTGGATCTGGTTTTACACACCTCCACATCATATCCACTTCAGCTGGCACTGCCTGGTTGGAAAGTCTAATCTCTCCTCAAAGAATCTACAATATATCACTGATTAAGCTTGTCTGATTCTCTGCGCCTGTGCTGTTTCTACTGTATCCTCAAAAATGGGGTGGCAGAACTAGAAGATTAAGGGAAACCCACAAGTCTAGCAGTTTCCAGCTTCATTCCCTCTCATTCCTCCCTGAAATACTAGAGTGCTTGCTAGTGAGTAGTGGAATGTACTTTGGGACCAAACAGTGGCTGAGGGAAGGAGGTGGTCAATAATCTACACATTTTCCTTTTTATTCAGGAACTGCTAAGAGGCCCCCAGCAAACAGAAAATAGCCAGCCAATCTCTGACAAGATTACTGATTAAATAAATACGAAGCACCAAGATGATGCCAGTCTGGAACAACTCTGAAAGTGTCTCTGCACAAACCATTAAGAGTTTTGGACTGACCACCCAGCAGATAGCTGCCAAGTGATCTCCTCTCATCTGGTATCTCATCTGTTATCTGTCCTAATACCAGAGCGTCTTTCTTCAGATCTCAGTAAAAGAAACCACACTAAGTATTGGAGGGCTTCTTAGTCCCTCAGTATTTTGGTAGGTGAAAAATTTCCTTGTAAGATATGAAAAGGCCAGCCTGTTAAACAGATCTTATTTTTGAAATCCCCTTAAGGAAGCGAGCTTTTAAAATCCATACAGATACGAGCTGATCTCTAAAAGCTAGCTACCTTGCATTTAGCTCATTACAGTGAACAGTCCAGATGTAAGTCAGGTCTAAATTTCAGAAACTGACATTTTGACACACTGCACCACATAGGGTAGATAAGTCCAGTAAGCAAAAGCTTGTGTTCAGAAGAGTAGCAACTGTGCTGCATACGCTTCTATCCAAGAAATCAGTCCTAGAAATTCCAGCTGAAACGCAAAATACCATCTTTCCTCATCCTCCTTGATTTATGAACTCCAGCCCCATTTCCAACATTCAGCATGATTCAGCCTAAAAAAAGCAGTATGGTAGAATCAAAATGTAAATGCAGTCTAGTTTTCCAGACCCACCTCCAAAGAGCAACTAAAAATAGTATTCTGAAGATCAGTTTAATTCGAGCCAACATTGCTTTTTGCCAGCATATACAAATCTCACTATACACAACTTCAGTACTTACAAGATCTTCAGAACCCTACTTTTTAGAACTTTACAGTACTGCTCTTTCAGTCACTTGTCAGCCAACAGGGCTCAAGAAACGGGATGCTACTAAAAGCATGTTTTAAGATAGGCGTGAAACAAAGATCTTGACCCTTTGAGGCTATCAGAAGAGCCAACATACTTCAAATAGGATAATTAGCCTGAACCAGGCTAATACCAATTTATTTCTCTCAGAGGTAAGCTTCCTATGCAGTTCCAATTCTAAAACTATTTGGGGGCAGGAGATGAGCAGACCTAGTGTCAATAATATGTGCCATGCTGGCACTACTACAGTGACTGGTAAGATGATTCATATATTCATTAAATCTCTAGGCTGCTACACACTAGCAAAACAAAACACTTCATTTGCTTCCTAAAGAGATCAGCTAGAAGCATGTTCGATTACTTTAACAGTTATTGACTTAATCTTTCATAGGAAAAAAAAAAAAAAGTGTAGCTTTCTCTTGACAATAGAAGATAGCCTCCCAGAAAACCAAAGTGCATATATTCACTGTGCTGGCATGGCCTTTATTTTACATTATACAATATTCATTTTAGCAAATGATTGCATGTACTCATGTGACGGCACATTACAAAACAAGAACCAATCCATTACCCTAATAAAAGATTTATTAAAACCGTCGTTTTATGACTAGTCCTTTAGAAGCACTAAATCAGTAAATTATTTGCTCAAAGCACAAATTAACAACCATTCAGCAATTAACACTGAATGTACTGACTTCATCAAAAGAGGACTAATCTATAATTTGTACTTAAAAATAAAAGCGACACTTTTATTTTATATTGCTTCATTACTTGAGAGGTAGGTGTTTTAGAAGAATTGAGCGTCACAAAACTTTTTCAAAATACTAGAAGCAAAGTTCTTACTTCAGCTCCCTAAGAAAAGGGAACGTGTTCGTCAAGGTCACAAGTGGCAAACTGAGAAGTTAAATTGCCTGACTTCATCACATGCTTTAATTAAGGGGGCACAGCCTTCCTTATCTCTATTCACAGACCTAAAAAAGAAAAATGCAGTCTGATATTTACCCTCTTGGCTTTAAAAGGGTGTGAAATCTTTGTCACTGAGTACCCGCACATCAAACACAATAATGCCTCGGGTAAGAGAATCCCTGGGGCGAGCTCACGTTACAAACGGATGCGATTTTTAGAGGTCATTATGGACTAGACCCCGAGAATTACTACCAATTCTGGTCCAACCCGCTAAAGAAAAGGCAGCTTGCATGTCGGCCAAGGCTGGCTTTTTTCACGGTCTCCATAGGTCCCTTTCCCTATGAGTAGACCAGGTTTCCTTTCCACCCGGGGGCCCCCGCTAACGTTAAAATTAGCCATTTTGAAACCAAGTTGCCAAGAGACGGGAAGCATTCACGCTCGTACAGACACGAATCACCTCGGGCTGTTGCTGCAGGCCGATAAGGGGGAGAAAGGGAACCGACACAACGGCGAGATAAAAAGCACGCTCGCGGGAAAGGCCTTTTTATTTCACCGTTACTCCAGCGGCTCGCACTGCGGGCCCGCGGCCT